AAATAAAAGTAAAAGAAACTACTTGTAAAATACGTTATGATATATAATATGAAGTACAAATTTAAAATTATTAGGTGAATAGAGTATTTTATGTTATATTTGTAATACATGTATGTTTGCAGGTAATTAGAATTTCGTCAAATTAGTGTTGTTTTAAATTGCTTGTTAAAAATATTTTTATTACCAAAAATGAGAATTAATTTGTGCATTAAATAATTTTGTAAGTTAAATGTGATATTTCGAGGCCAGTCTATATTAAAATTTAATCTTAAATATTCAATAAAAACAGTCGTACTTTACATCATATAACATCTCTATTGATTTGTCAATCTTTGCGTAATTTTTACTATTTCCGTATTACATACAGAAAGATTGTGATCAATTTATTTAATAGTAGGCATGTGAATATTTATCATTTATTCCTAATTAATTATTGGTTTGAGTCAATTTTAGTTTTAGGTTTAGTTAGTTATTATTTCACTATTTACTATTTTATCACATACCTACCCACACTACATTGGTATGGTGACGGAAAGCTAATTTTGTTACGGTAGAGTTATTGCGTTATCCGAATTTCTTCAAATATCGCATAATTATTGTTTATAATTATGCTAAGTTTTATAAGAGGACAATCGAAGAAAAAATAGATGGACGGAAGATAATATGGATAAAAAGAGAGTGAGTTCAGATATGATGGCTGGTAGAGGTCAATACTAGTAGAATAATGAGATACGGGCTAGGTAAGGACTAAGGATGCTGAAATAATAATTAATGTCATTTGATTTGTTTTAAACAAACAAATGACATTGAAATGGGTTCGTAAAGATAATATAGAAGTTGACAAAATAAACAGTATAGCTAACTTTTATTTTAAATGCAGCTAGAAGCTAGTTTAAAAAATGTAATGCAAAATTAAAAGAAAACACGAAAACGGGTGGAGCGAGCACGTAAATTAATTTAGCAATTCCAACACGCAAGTTATTGGTTCAAATTAAATTGAAGGTCTAACAACGGTCTCTTTTGTATTAAACTGTTTTCGATACTCCATGGCCACTTACAAAACTATCTAAGAACATTATTGGTCACTTTGTAACTGGTTGGTTAAGCAAAACTTGTTTATTAATTAGGTACATTAATAAAAGCTAATAAGGTACAGTTTGTGTAAAACACTCTTCTCAGCTTATTACTTATTACAACCTATTTAAGGTACGGTACTGAATTACAGAATGTCTGGTCAAACACATATGAGATTATTTTGGAATGAGAAGTAGTAACTTTTTTAATACAGTTAGTGAATCGTTGAATAAAATATAAACTGTTTAGTATTATTGTAATGGATCGGTGGACTGTATGGGCGTCTAAATGATGAAACACGTAGTTTGCAATAATATAATATATTAATATGTGCAATTGCGAACTATACGAAAGACAATAATAGAATAATTGAAATGTATCAAAAAACATGACGTATAAAAAGAACTGTTCTAAAAATATAGATTTAAAAATAATAAAAGTATCAAAAGAGGTTGCGGCGGCCGGTCGCCAACAATTATTGTAATCACTATTGCCTGTTTATGCAAATATTAAAGAAGAAAACACTAGAGCTTTCAGGATATTGAACACATATGTATGTATCTGATAAAAGCACGAGAATATATTATTTTACCTACATAAATTAAAACAAATGTAATTTATTATTGTGTTATATTTGCAAATAAGAAATCAAAGGGACAATTATAACGACTTTTTCTTAATTAATTATTTATACACAATAGTGATTATGTTCGGTATTAATTTTAATGAATTGATTTTGTTTTTTATTACACTGTTTTTTTTTATTTAATCATAAGTTTAATAATAAACAAGAATAAAAAATAATATTTATATTTTTTAATCTATGGTTGGAGAGAATATTTTAATTCAATAAGAAATAAAATTTGTATGCGCAGGAATGAAGGATATAAGGATATAAAAAATATAGTTAATATTATTATATAAAACGTGTTGTTATGATTATATATAACGGTATTTTGTAAAAAATTACACATATAAATGCAGATTCAGCTGTTTTTTATTCAACTATTTTTTTTTGTTTTTGAAACGTAACACATTCTACTATAAGAGACTATTTTTAACTTGCGTTTCTATTGTATTCTTATTACATCGCTGCGGTATCAATTTAGTCATTTAACTATTCATTTATTTTCCATACCCAACCCTCAGAAACTCTTATAAGTTACATACGATACCTTCAAATGTAAATAATTTATATACTGATTTTATTTATTAACAATATAATGAATGTCGAAGATGAAACAAATGTGGTGAAATTGATTTCGATGGTAAGAAACAAATTTGGTTGCAATACCGCATCCGTTAAGGTTTTAAATCCGTAGCAAGTAGTACTAATATTTTATTGCAATGCAAATCCGTTAAGGTTTGATATAAGATTATTTATATATTTATATTTAAGTATGTATGTGTCTAGATATATATATTTAATTCATTATTATTACCTACTTCCTTTTATTTCATGTTATTTATTTAAATGCACCGTCAACTAATCTCTACTTGCCCTATGGTTGACTGAGACAAAATGCCTTATGGCGTTAAGTTCGCCATATTCGCCATGATTTTTGTATTTGTTTGGCTTAAAGATTTAATAAATAAGATATCTTTACTTACGTGTTATGTATAAATATTTTCTCTTCAAATATAGTTATCTAGGTAACTGATATCACGGTCTATTGACAAATAACTCATACAACCGCCCAGTGACCTATCGGCCGCCGTCATCATCGGTTACGTGTTCGACACACATTCTATCATTTCACTTTCAAATGTCACTCCGTATAAATGTGACTATCAAAAACATGGGCATGGCTGTATGGGCGCAGTTCCCTTAGCCTTTCCTTTAAAGGATAAACAGAAGAAAAAAAAGGCTGACTATCATTTAGGGCTTCATTATAATGTAATCTGATCATTGATTAAACCAATCTATTAATTAAACTTTTTCATATATTTTAAATAGTAATAAAATAGTCGTTTATAAATAATTGAACGTTTCCCACGATGCTTTTTTATTTATATAAAAGATATCCTATTTCTGCCCTTGTGACATAGTTAATCTACACGTCAAATGGCATTAAGATCCCTGAACATGTAACAAACTTATTTGTGTTTTACTAAATAGTAGCAGTAGCATTTATTACTAGCTTACTAAACTTGAAAGTTTGTGAGTATGGATGGATGGATGGATATTTGTTCCTCTTTCACACAAAAATTACTAAAATAGCCAAATAAGCTATCAATTTCACGCGAGAGAAACCGCGGGCACAGATTGTTATGTATTGATCCTGATCATCCTAAATAGATATTTGACAATTTCTCACTATACTACTAGGCAAAGTACACAGACATTAGGTATTAGAAGTACTTATATTTGGAGAGAAAGCTCATACAATGATATGTCGTAATACGATAAAAGCCGTTTAAAATATAAAATCAATAAAAATTTGCGAATCTCCTTTACCGTTTATTTAAAATATGATAAATAAATAAATAATAAAAATTAAGTAATATTTACTTACCGTGGCCACAATTTTTTTTAAGGTAAATAAAATTTCTAAACGAATCACTTCGGAAAAAGTTTGAACATCACTAGATTTGACAAGTCGGATGTTTTATTTTAATTCTGTAACGGAAAAGGGAGGGGGGTTGTTGATATGACCTTGACCGTGTCTGGTGGTCATCATTAACAGCAACCATCGTGAAACCATGAACCCTTAGATGCGACATTATCGACTTCACTCGATGGTGAACAATTTATTGAGAAATTATTGTAGTTAACGGAATAGATTAGAATAGAATAGGTATCATATCATTGAAAAATTCAACAAATTTTAATACGTATATTATGCTTTACTTTATTTCTACAAAATACTTGTGATCTATGATATCTCAAAGACGTCGTTCTGAGAGAACTATGTAAGTTCTAAATTCCAGATTCTTCAGTTTTACATTCTATGATTTATCTCATTTAATTTTCGTTTTTTTTATCATTAATTTTGCTTATTGCTATTTTTCATAACTGTTATATTTTACTACTATGTTAATTATTTTTGTAAATTTTGTCTACATTAAATACTATGTGATTAAAGTCATGAGATGCAGTTTTCCTTATATGTACTTCGTTAAACATTCATAAGTTCATACAATTGTATGTATAAGGACTTAACCGGAATTGTTTATAGATTTGAAGCTACCGCAAGGTCACGTGGAAGTGACGTAATGATGATTATTTGATTCAATACAGTGCCTGAATATTGAATTATTTGCCTGACCATACATGTACAAACAAGTAATTTAAATAGAGAATATTTAAGATAGAGTTTTCCCTGAAAAGAGCGATGCAGAGATTTTATCACAAGATTTAGTGAATAAAAAAGCAGACAAAAATAATGACATAAAGTTAGACCAATTTAATGTTAATACTATATATGTGGTTATTTTGGAAGTTAATATTTGTTTTTATTGTCAATTTTCATATATTATATAATATAAGTGTTAATTGTTTTGTTCGTCAAAACAGTAAGATTTTACCTGTGAGCCAAGACCGCGAAGTAGAGTTTTTATACGATTATAATAGATTTAACATTAATTTGTCATAATCAGCCAACAATCTACAGTTCAATGTTATCGAAATCAGTTTTCTACCGACGTTTAGGGTGTCGAAACGAGCCAATGTCGGGCAGCGAGGTTGCGGCGCGGTGTAGCAACGGACGCGGATTGCATTTCATTAGATGTCTAATTATGATTTGATACGCCGTCACCTCACTTGATATCACCGATGCACGTGGGTATTCGATCACTGCATTCGCATTCGCGGGTCACTGTGTCTGCGTGTTTGGCGGCGCGCTTTCATAACGGGCGGCGAGGCGGAAACTGGAGTTATGCAAGCGCACGCGCCGCTGTGTGCGTGGTAGGTGTGGGTACGTTACCGGACTGTTGCGGCGAGTGGAATACTGACGGGAGGCTGCACTGCCGCGGTCGGAGCTGAAGACACGTGCGTGCGATACGAACGCGCGCGACTGAGTGCTGGTGTCTAGCAGCGCCGGCGACCGCCTCTAGCCACCATCGGACCGCCCTTCCCGCACCCCGCACCGTGCCCCACGGTCCTCTCACCATCTTTCAGCGAGCTCACCCCACTGTTTTTCACAGTTTTCTTACTGATAACGAGAGGGTAAGGCAGAGCACACAGACGCTATGTTTACTTCATAGCATAGATACAAACTGTAAGTAGGTATGTTCTTGTGTCATACATTGACTATTTCAACTTCAATATTAAATATCATATAAGTTTTTAGAAATATATATATATATAGGTATATGTATATCTTTTTGTAATAGCTTATGTGATATTGAATACGGAAGTTTCTTTTTTAATAATCTATAACTTCAAAAATAGCTTGCAATTCAATCTGTCGATAGTCTATATTTTATATTTCTTTATGCACGATCGTCGTTTATCTGGATTGTTATGATTCTCTTTCAATCAAATAAAAGGTTTAATCAAGTTTCATCAAGTATTATTTTTGTGCGACTGTAGTAAGAATTCACTATCATGATTTCAGTTTAGATCTAGGTCTCCCCCATTTTTTATGGCGGAAGGAACGACCCGGAAACTAAGCGCATCCATTAAGCATTAACTGCTTGCAACACATTTGGAGTGACTCTATGTAATTAGTGACCAGTATGTCACTTGCTGAAGTATTACATTAAAAACATACGAATTTTACCAGGTACATATTTTAAACGTCGTTTGCACCGATAGGTTTGTGGGTCGACTGTTTTTGGTTGTAGGGTGTGATTATGAACTTACAGGATATGTTAGTTAGAGGTATGACCTCTTAGTCCTTAAGACTGGCAGCACAAAAGTGGTATCATGTCATGATAAAGTGATGTCCTGTGCTATGCTGGACATATGATAACGTGATAGCGTAGTTCATGTACATATATAGGCTACGGTTATCACTTACCACAAAGGAGTCCTCCACTTGTTCTAAGTACATGAATAGAAACTAATAAGTATTCCGGAAAGAGGTCATATTGTTTACATGTATAATATATACATGTAAAAACTATATACTCTTTATTACACTTTTAACTTAAAATAGTACAAAAATATTAAAAATAATATAAGTAAAGGTGGCTTTATCTCTTGAAGAGATTTCTTACAGCCAGCCTGAGACTTAGTTTGACGGCCTCGGTGGTCTAGCGGTTTAGCACACCGCTATTACCACCGATGGTCGCGGTTTGAGTCCTGGCACGGTGCAAACATTTTTATTCATGAGTATGATTGGTGTTTTCTATGTATATTATGTGTGTATTTACAATATATATCTAAATATTTATATCAGTTGTCTAGTACTCGTAACACAAGTTCTGCTTTTCGTGGGACTACTATAGATGGCGCTACTAATTGTCTAAGGTTATTTTTATTTTATTTTATTTATTTATTTATTAAACCAAGGCTATTCAAGTATATCTTAAATAAAATCAATATATATGTCATAGTAAGCCACTGACAGGCTTTCACTAATAACAATAGACTAATTCTTAAAAAAAATACATCACTACGTATAAAGGCATTATAAAGTTAACAGAGAATATGAAATTAATTAACAAGAGTACAGTAATAAATAGTAAATTTATAGAAATATATACATATACATGATTTTCAATAATAATTAAGTGTTATTTAAAGAAGGGCTCACTTAGTTGGTGTCTCGTTGATTTAATATTATTACAAAATATATCTATATTAACTGTTTTAGATAGTTTATTAAAATTGTTGCTAGCTCGCCAGAGAAATGAATTCTGCTTATAGTTCGATGACACTAGGGGAACAGATAGGAGAGGATTGTGCCTTGTTGATACTCGTGGTACATTAATGGATAATTTACCCAGGAGATTCGGGCAGTCGACAGCACCAGAGGCTATTCTCATGAGATTTGTAATTTCCGCGATTTCCCTACGCTTCTCAAGAGGCAGAAGGTGGTGTTTTTTACAAAACTCAAGATACCTCAAGATACCTAGATGAATCATACGGATCTCGTAATCTGTAGGCTAAAATTATTATAGTTATTTATTTATTGAATTTGCATGGACTTAACAAAGTTGGAGATTAATTACATAACATTTGTGTTTGAACTGTGCGCATTATTTACTCTAAATATGTATATACATATATAAATATATATACCAGGTCACGTACTGCAAATCCAATTAGTTTTATTTCAACAATGATTCAGTCTTTCGCTACAATTAACCTACAATGTAATGCTATAATTTGCCTTCACTTGTTGCATTGACAAATGCCTAAAAGCATCGAAAGGGTTATATTCTAATGATTTTGAGTGCAAAATAAAGCTTGTATAAACCGATTGCACAAAAGGGGAGGTTCTCGATTCGATAACACTTTACCGTAAAGTAATATTTACGTAATACCTGAACTGGTCTGAAATAATATTGAATAAAATTTCTATTTAAAAGGATTTATTTTCGTTTTGCACCTGCAGTTATTTTTATTTTACGTTGACTTTAATTAAATATTTAATTATTTTACGTTAGCTTTAATTCACGTGGTTTTGTGTACATTTTTTCATTAAATTTCTTTAAGGATTTTTTTAAAGGAAACTTTTATCATAAATCATAAGTTTCATATATTTCTGGCTTTTAATGGACATATTCTTAAAATAATTGTTAATGAATTATAATTTGTAAGTATTGCTTTTTAAGCCCATTTTATGCACACAAATGCATAATCATCATCGTATGAGCAAAAGCAAGAGTATTACATAATATACAGTACTACCCAGATTGGTCATGCTATTTTACCCTTTAAATAACAATGAGCCCATTACTTAACAGTAGAATTGAGTGAGGCGATGGTAGAGTCGATTCTCAAAAGCTGTAAAAGCAGTTCCACCTAATATTTATGACCACTTGGCAAGTTTGGGACGTGACAAATTGAAAAAGTGGTATTAGTCGGGCGACTAGTATACAATACTAGCTTTTAATCGCGTATTTGTCTGTTTTTTTTTAAGGTAAAAGATACCCTATAAAAATGATCGAGATGCTATTTATCATCACGTCAAACTTAATTAAGACATGTTTCGCCATTTTAGTGAAAAATGGTCTGATATATTAGTATGGAAGATGAATTTTATCTATTATCGATATGCTATGAGAATTTCGTTTTCATTTCACCGAAATTAAGGGTTTTGGATTTGGCAAAGTTTTACATGTAACAAACGAGCCTGGATGATATTAGTCTGAGTGTACTGCTAGGGGTTAGAACCTCGTCTCAGGCTGTCGTAATTTCGATTCCCGTTTGAATTGGACGGGAAATTAAAAAGCAAGCTGTTTGGCGGCTGAAATGTGTGAGACTACCCACGCAAAGTCTACCTCGGTTTATTGCATCTGTGAGCACATATGATTTAGATACCAATGCTTCTCATCTTATTACATCACTATCTCTGCACTATGCCGGCGAGATCATAAACAAACGTGATGGATGATATGACTATTGCATCACGTTTTACTATACAAAATTACTATGTACTATTTATTACAATGTGCCTATTTTTAAGTGGATAATGATAATAATACTTCCCATATCTCGTTACAGCGAGGATTATAAAGAAAATTGTCATATCGTGCATCATATCAGAAACGCATGCGAATCTGGGATACGTTAATTAGGTAATTGAGTATGTCTATGAGTTCTCACAATGGTATTATACCATTTTAAGACAGTATACCAATGTACTGTGTAAATTCTGTTGCTTATTATTTACAACTGCGAGTCCGATCTAATTTCATATCTAGATGGAGGATGGAATAGATGGTCAAAAATCTGTCTGTCTACCCATAATTAATAGGTAATTTATTTCAATAAAAAAACAATACTATAAAGCAGAAATAAAAATCTTTACATCCCATTTCTGTTCCTCTTTACGCGCCGCCATTTTCAGGTCCTTTTCAGGACTATTCCCTACATCTATACAATCATCTATTTTATCTTGTGTCATAGGAGTAATCTTATCATACAAGGATCACTTTTAACTATATATAATTCAAAACAATGATACAGTAATATATGCAAAACCACCAGTGTCATTTACATATATGTTTTTTATCATGATGCAGTTATTAAACTATATACTTTCTATTTCAATCTGTAATTCCTAAATGAATAGAATATTGAAAAGAGCTTAGAAAGTTAATAAACAAATCAATATAGATGATGTTATCGTGCAGGGCGAAGGTTTATTAAAATAAATAGCATTTGTAACAAGACAAGTAATTTAGGAATTTGTACCGAGCAGTTTTCTTATTAATTGAATTAATTGCGACATCTTTTTAGTAAAACATATAGTAGCATTTCTTTCACACACTTTTTACTTTATCCACTTAAATAACTCATTATTTATACGTACATTTATGCCGTTGCAAGGACCTTTACATTTATATATATATATGGAATATATACATATATATATGTATATACGTAAATAACGGAGTACACGTTTATGTTTGTAAAATATGATAGTTTTACATAAAAAACATGTAACGATTTTCAATATGAAAATTATTATGACAATGCTGGTCATATGCCAAGGCTGTAAAGCCAAGTAGACACTAGTCATTAAATAAATACGGACTAGATGGTCTACAGAGTATCACTGTCTGTCTGTTCAATGTAATAATTTTTTTTAATATTTTTGTGTTTTATCTTAGAATCATTTTAAATATTAATATTTAAATATTAGAAAATATATGTAAGTTATTAGTTATTAGTTAGTAATATTCGACTACGTGTTAAAATTAATGCTGAACCATACGTCAAGGGCTTGACGTAAATACTATATTATTTTATATTAGTGGCCCAAAATGTACAAGGAAAAAACTTAGCTTGAAGTTTACTAAAAAATAATGTTATATTTAAAATACAGCAGCATACAAAGATGGTCACAATCTTGACAGTTTGTCATTTAGTCTGTCCCAGTGACAGACAGGCATT